AATTCTATGATCATATTCTAATTATTTTTTTTTAAATATTGTCAAAATCATACTAACTGTTTATTTTTTTATAAACATAAATAGCTTCGTTTGAGAAGTGGGTTAGCTTTTTGATTTTTTTGACTTTTTTAGCTATTTTAGCCTAGGCTAAAAAGCTTAGTTTGGGAAGGGCTTTTTGATTTTTTTGGCTTTTTTTGTGAGAGAAGAGTGTAATGATTATGGGTTATATGTGATGTTTTGTTTGTTGTGACTAAAATAGCTTATTTTGTCTTTTGTGGCTAAAATAGCCAAAAAAAACCCATAAACCATCTTCCCAAACGGAGCTATTATGTGGTCTTCTAATGATTTCCAGATGCTTAATTAATCTAATTTTTTTCATGAATTATCTATTTGACGAATTCTATAATGTGAATAGTTCGAATTATCAAAATTGATTCGGAACTGACCCTATGGGTTCACAACACGGCACCAACTCCATTTCGTTAGTGTTCTGTCCTTTTATCTCAATTTTCCTTCTTTCCTTACCAACTCTACATAATACCATTTTTAGAATTGATGTAGATGAGTCTGAATCCTCTCCAGCCATTCCTCCTGTCAAGGGCCAAGATTTGGCCACGTCACTTTGGCTGGAGAGACGGCTCAAATCAGGTTTGGTTTAAAAAAAATATTTGAATTTGTTTTCATTCAACATAGCAACAGAGCTTCCCCCGCATTCAGCTTCCCTCTCATTCACTTTTTCCCTCCCTCTTCGAAGCTCTAGTGAGCGACGATCGGCGGCAAATCGAAGTCGGCGACGAACATTAACGGTCTGTCCCTTTCTCCCTCTATCTTAATCCAAAGATTTCAGCCGCGATTTCATCCACCAGTCTGTCCCTCTTTCTCTCTGTCTTACCCCGAAGATTTAAGTCGCGATTTCAACAATGAACTAGAGCTCCGACGACCCCTCGAACCAGAGCCCTGATCTGCACTTCATCAAACTTAGGGTAATACATTTTTTTCATTGATTGTTCCCCAAATAATCTACCATTTTGCAAAACTTGAACAATGATGTGTGTTTCTCCAGTGGAAAGAATGATTGATAAACTGCCATTTTCATTGTTTAATAGGCCCAAAAAAATTAAAAAATTAAAAATAAATGCCATTTTTCCCTATATTGTATTGCATACTGATTGATTATGATGATGACATTGGACTTGATTTTTTTGAATTTTTATGCCTACCTTTGATGGTTTGGTGTAGGATTTTCTGAATTTGGTAAGAGTTGCTCCCATTTCATATATATATATATAGTCTAATCTATAATGTGGTTCTGCAAGATCATTTTCTGAAACTAGCACAGTTGCTATTTGTTGGTTCTTATTAATTGGTTCCAAATAAATAAATAAAACACTTCAAAGCAGACCTTCAAAGCAATTATGATGGTTCTTAGAAAGCAATTAAAAATTTGGTAGAAGAAAATTATTCTAATGTATGCAAATTGACTTCATATTCAGGTCAAAAAATTCCCCCAAAAAAAAAGAAGCCAGTCTTGAATTAGATTGGAATACAGTGATTGAGCTAACAAAACCTCTAAAACCCAATTGATTTTACTTTATTATTGTGTATTGATACTTCTCACATTTGATTGCCTTTACTTTTCAATTGCGTTTTCATATGGATATGGAACCTGACGATGATTGTGGTTGGAAGCCAAAAGAAGGAATGACCTTTGACTCGAAAGAAGATACGTATGATTTTTATAATGCATATAAAGGAAGAATGAGATTTAGCATAAGAAGGGAATATTGTAAAAGGAACAAGTTTACAAAACAAATTATTTCTAGAAATTTTGTTTGCAACGAGGGATTTCTGAAGGTTGACAAGTGAGACCCATTGACAAAAACCCCTAGAGCTAAAACTAGGACTGGTTATGATACCCGACTTTTTGTTAAATTGGATGTCAGTACTGGGAAATTTGTTGTGATTGATTTCAAAGAAAAACACAACCATGAACTTGTATCTCTTGATTGTGCCCGTATATTGCTATCGCAAAGAAAGATATTAGCTAACCAAGCAATTGAGTTAGACTTAGCCTCAGAGTCTGGTCTTCGTTTAGGCCAGTTTTTTGAACTCATGGGTAGGGAAGCTGGTGGGAGGCAATCTCTTGGGTTTATGAAATTAGGTCAAAAAAATTACTTGAGAACCAAAAAGCAAAATAGTTTAGCGTATGGGGAAGTAAGTAATGTGTTGCAATACTTTCAACAAAAATCTTTGGAGAATCCATCTTTTTTTATGCTTTCCAAGTAGATAATGAGGAGCAAATAACGAATATGTTTTGGGCTGATGCACAAATGATCATGGATTATGCCCAATTTGGCGATGTAGTTAGATTTGATACTACCTACAAGTTAAATAAACAGCATAGGCCATTTGCATCTTTTGTGGGATTTAATTATCATAGAGAAATAGTTGTGTTTGGTGCTGCTTTGTTATATGATGAGACTGCCGAAACATTTTGTATGGTTATTTCAAACTTTTTTGGAGGCTATGTCAAAAAAGACATCAAAAACTTTGTTTACCGATCAAGATACTGCAATGGCTAAGGCCATACCCATTGTCATGCCTGGCACGAGTCACCTTTTGTACACTCGGCATTTGATGCAAAATGCATTAAGGCATGGTAATTGTCTCTTTCAAGATAAGGGGGTCAATGGTGTATTAAATAGATTCATGTTTGATATTAAGGATGAAAATGAATGGAAAATGAAGTGGGGGGAAATGCTTGTATGATGCTCATGATAATCATTTGTTGAAGTTGACTTTTGGGGTGAAGGAAAAATGAGACTGGCCATATGTTAGATCAACATGGGCTACGGGAATGAGTACAATACAACTTAGTCCATATGTTAGATCAACATGGGCTACGGGAATGAGTACAATACAACTTAGTGAATTTTTTAATGCGTTTTTGAAGGATTACATTCGTTCTGATTTTAATTTAAATGAATTCTTCATGCATTTTGAAAGGGTATTTTCTGAGAAACAGTACAAGAACTTAGAAGCTGGAAATGCTTTATGCCAAAGGTTGCCAAGGGTGAGAGCGCCATTCATAATGTTTAGTCAAATGGGTAATGTGTATACTAAAATTATTTTTGAGGAGTTTCAAGATGAGTATTTTCTTTCTGTTAAATCAAACATACAAGCAATTGAACACACTGATGGTTGTAGCCTATACACAATTGTTGATGCTATTGGGAAAAATGCAAGGAAAGTGAAGATGGAGATGGATGGCTCTTTGGCTTGTAGTTGTTCAAAGTTTGAAAGGAAAGGGATTTTGTGCATAGACTCCATAAATGCAAAACAACAAAAAGATTTCCTTCATCTCAGATTCAACTACATTCTCCATTTCACTAAACATTTCAACCTAAAATGATGGAGTCAATCAATAGAACAAAGAACAAAGAGAACAAGTTGGTAAGCTCTGGTGAACGACAGGAAAGGGACAAGATGGAGTCGACCAACAGATTATTTGGGAGAAACAATGGTAAAAAACATATTACCTTAACTATGGTTCGTAGCTCAAATCGTGGCTCAAATCTTCGGCGTAAGATAGAGGGAGAGAGGGAGAGACCACCGAAGTTCGCCGCCGACTTGGATTCACCGCCGTCGGTGTCATGAGATGGCATCGCCGTTCACCAGAGCTGAAGAGGGACGGAAGAAGTGAATGGGAATGAAGCTCTGTTGCTGTGTTGAATGAAAAAAAAAAATCAAAAATTTTTTTTTTTAACCAAACTTGATCTGAGCCGTCCTCTCCAGCCAAAGTGACATGGCCAAATCCTAGCCTTTGACAGGAGGAATGTTTGGAGAGAGTGGCTGGAGAGGATTCGGACTCCATCTTAATACTATCTTAAGAAAATAACCCTCAATAATACCATCTTAATAACATCTTTAAAAAGATTCCAGACCACTGGAAACAAAGACTAAACTATAATTTACAATTTACAAAGGTTAAACTCTACATTTTTTTATAATCTTCCCAAACTCTAATGTAGCCTTTCTTTTTTTTCTTTTTTCTTTTTTCTTGGGGGGGGGGAGGGGGAGGGGGGTTGTTATTTTCTTTTTAACTGTTTTGAAATACCATAGATTAGAGTTGATGTATCACTTAAATACTATTGAAATATCAATGATATTATATAGCGGTATCACCATTTAATGAGTTATCTCAATAAGTTGTAAGAATCAAAACATGTTTGAATCAGTGAGAGAGAAACATTGTCTAGCTAATATCATTTACAGTTTTTTATTAGTCAAAATATCAATTGTTACACTTAACATTTATTTCCAGTTAGTTAGTTTCACATAATGTCAAGGCACCTGTATCTATTCGATTTCAAGTAGAGGTTGCTACCTTGGGTTTTCTCCATACCACTATCTTATATACTCATTCATACTTCATTTTGTGGACCTCATTATGGACCCACAATAATGATCTATACCGTTCACCTCGTAAATTATGCAGTAAAGACCGTCTATGCAAAAAATCCGTTTCATCCAATATTGATGAATAGATGAACAAATCATATGTTGTCTAATAAAATAGACTGTTTAAGTTTAAACTCCTAATTGTTGTCTATTTTAAAAGACTAAATGTAATTTATTCATATGTCTATTCATGTCCAACGAAATTAATTTTTTTACCCCAACTCATCTCTATTACTACGTCTACAAAAGTTCATATCATCGTTGTGGGCTTGGAATGAAGCCCACAAAATAGAGTATAAAAAGACGTGGAGGGGAGCCATTTGCAAATGAAGCTTGTTCACCTTAATTGTTTTTGTGCTTTACTTAGCAAGGCATTTTTGTGCTTGTTCAGCTTAAAACAGATTATGCCACCCTAAGGGTGGTTGAATACCTAGCAGTCATTACATCGTTTTTCACCAAATGCTGGTATAACATTCTGCTATTCCACAAAAAAAGCTAGCAATTTCAATCATAAACTCTGCAATTGGCAAACCATTATAAAAGCCAAAAGAATATTCATATAGCAATCTCAATAGACCTGGCAGGCAAGAAAAAAATAATTATAACGATGATACATGTCATCATGCATACGTGGTGTCACCAACCATTAACATGTTACCACCTACCCACTATGTATAGATCCTAACTACATTATGATGACATGGAAGTTACACTGAAGTTATGACAGTGAAATGAGTGGGTGGTTATAGTTAATAGGTGGGGTTCATTCAATCATGTGTTGGGTTATAATTAGTTGGTGATATCACGCGTGCATGATGACGTGGTATCACCGTTACACTCAAGTTTTACTCCTGGCAAGCAAGTGTTTTAGTCACCAGTAGTCTACACAAGAACAAGACCCATCTTTAAAATGGTGAAACCTAAGTTTATCCCGAACAACAATTTCTCTATTAGCAATAACTGAGATAAACTTAATAGCCGAATGACAATCCTCACACATTCGGAGGTTCTTCACAATCCTAATTGTCGTCCTAGGATTAGTTTTTAGGATCCCGAATGCAATTGCAAGCTTCTCGCTATGATATCTAAGCGCGTACTCCCTTTCCTCTTCTTCCAACTCGTGCATTACTGACTCAGGCACTGGTACATACCCTGCTTCACTGATCCTATGTATCAACTCATCCAAATACTGATAGATTGCAATTGTCTCAGGGTGAGATTTATCACCCATGCTAAACAAATGAGTCTTTTGATTGACCTCTATAGTGCTAAAGCCAAAACTCTTCTTTAGGCCTTTTGAAATCATCATATTTCTAACCATTTCCACTCGATCCATCCTGCCAGCCAGTGCATATACATTTGAAAGCAATACATAATGTCCTGGATTTTCCGGTTCTGCAGCTAAGAGATACTCAGCAACTTGTACTCCAAGATCAAAATTTTTATGCATCTTGCAAGCTCCAAGCATTGCAGTCCACGCTGCTGGTGCTGGCTTGACATGATTCAATTGTTTGATGTATTGAAATGCTTCACTGAGAAGTCCAGCACGCCCAAGCATGTCGACCATGCAAACATGATGCTCCATTCCTGGCGATAACCCATAATGCAACCTCATACTAGCAAATGCTTGTTGCCCCTCCTTGACTAGCCCTGCATGTGCACATGATGACAACACTGCAACAAACGTGACATCATTGGGAGGCGGTCCTTGAGCTCTCATCTTATGAAACAGCTCTACAGCTTCTCTACCATAACCGTGCATACCATATCCTGAAATCATGGCTGTCCAAGCGACAACATTTCGATCATTCATCGAATCAAAAACTTCCCGGGCTTTCCCAACACTTCCACACCTAGCATACATGTTGATCAATGAAGTACCAAGAACAACATTCATATCAAAACCATTCTCTATGATATGATCATGCACCCAACAACCCAAATCAAGAGCTCCCAGTTGGGAACAAGCAGACAACACACTCACCATTGTAGCCAAATCAAGCTCAACACCCAAATCTTTCATCTGATAAAACAACCCAATTGCCTCCTCAGCAAAACCATTCCGCTCATACCCAGAAATCATCGAATTCCATGCGACAACAGTTCTTTCCGCCATTTCATCGAACACCATCCGCGCAATTCCCAAATCACCACATTTTGCATAGAAGCTGATCAAAGCAGACTTAACAAACGAATCCAAACCAAACCCACGAACCAGAGCGTGACAATGAACAATTTTACCGATTCTCAGAGCTGATAATTCAGCACACGATTTGATCACAGCCGTGAAAATGTAATTGGAAGGTGATATAGAGGAACTGAGCATGCGGCGATAGAAGAGGATGGAATCGAGAGGGAAGTGAAATTTGGAGCAAGATGTGATGAGGGAACTGAAGAGGAAAGAGTCACGATTGGTAATGGAGAGGAAGAGTTGGCGAGTGTAGGTGATTGAGCCGGCGGTGCAAGCGAAGGTGATGAGTTTGGTGATGAATTGGAGGCTATGGTGCGACCCAGAGACGATGAAATGGGCGTGAACTTGTTGGAGAGGCTTGAGTCGTGGGCCAGCTCGGAGGAGAGCTTCGTATGCTGTTCGCGAGTGGAATTGAAGCTGTTTGGCTTCCATGAAAATTTGCCATTCATCGAAAGAAAATATGAGAAAGTGAGGGAAAGTTTATTCGGCTATTGTCACGATACTTAAAACGTCTCTCTCTCTCTCTCTCTCTCTCTCTCTCTCTCTCTATATATATATATACATATTCACAAACCCAATAAATAAGATATGGGTCAAAGAGCAAGCTCCTCGTCTTCATCAACCTCCGCTACAGGCGGCAACACTGATTCATGGGCGGCGCTGCTGGAAAAAAAAAAAAAAAAAAAATTAAAACCACGAAACGACGTCGTTTCGTGGTTTAGGGGCATTCGGGGCGGAGGAATTCGGGCCCTGTAGCATTGTTGTATATATATATACATATTCACAAACCCAATAAATAATATGGGTCAAAGAGCAAGCTCCTCGTCTTCATCAACCTCCGCTACAGGCGGCAACACTGATTCATGGGCGGCGCGTGGCCTGGTCGCCGCCGGAGCTGCGGCGGCAGGGGCTTACGTGGCATTCTCTCTCCGCCGATCTTCGCGTTTTCGAAGCCAAGTTGTGGGAATCATTCCAGCTCGTTACGCCTCTTCCAGATTTCAAGGCAAACCCCTTGTTCCCATTCTCTGCAAACCCATGATTCAGGTACTTCGTTTCATACATTTATACACAGAATCACATATATATGTTTATATGAAATGGGTACATCTAATCTGTTCCAAATTCATCGGTACTAGATTCAAGTTGGGTACCTAGAAAGAATGAACTTTAGGTTCTTCTTTGTGCCTTTGTAGCATACAAAGTGTTTGAAAAAGTGACTCACTCAGATGCCTTTGTTGTGCAATACAGAGAACTTGGGAGAGAGCAAAACTCGCCACCACATTGGACCAACTTGGTATGTACAGCTATAGAGAACTTCATTAGAATCATGAAGTTTGAAATGAAGTTTGACCCGCTCAACACATCCTCATCCTCTGGTTCATCACATGTTTTTTAATGGCCAAATTATACTGTCCCTGTGCTTTCGTGATTGTGTTATTTTAATTCCTGTAATTTCAATTAGATCAATTTTGAATTTAAATTGTTTACTTTGTTTTAAAATGGTCCAATCGATTCCATCTGTTAACATTTTTTATGGCAAATGTGTACATGAAAGGTATGTGTTAGGCTTTTAAAAGTAAATTATGAACTTGATCAATTAAGTGACTTAACCTCAACCAATTCAATAAAAAATTTCAGTCAAAAATCCCAATGGCATTATCACTTGGACCAAATTGATGCAAAATTTAAAATTAATGGTCAAAATTGAGTCAATCGAAATTGTAGGGACTAAAATAATAGAAGCGACAAAAACTGTGTTTAGTGCCATTTCTGTGCATGTCTGTGTTTGTATGTGTATGCCGGCATATCTGCATTTTTTATTTTCTGTTCGTGTTGTTTAATATCACAACTGCCTTTTTCTCTTGCAATGCAATAGTTGTGGCTACAGATGATGAGAAGATTGCAGAATGCTGCCGTGGATTTGGAGCTGATGTGATAATGACATCAGAATCTTGCCGAAATGGTAGGAGCACTCGCTGCCCTTTTTTGTGGTTTTAAAATTTTCATTTTACTTGCATTAAGTTACAGCGTGAATTGTTTAATTAATTCTCAGGAACTGAACGCTGCAACGAGGCACTACAAAAACTTCAGAAGAGTTTTGATGTAGTAGTCAACATTCAAGGCGATGAACCTCTTATCGAACCTGAGATAATTGATGGGGTTGTCAAAGCTCTGCAAGTGAGATACTTTAACTAGCATTGTAGTTTTTACATGAAAATGCCCTCGGATAACTTGAATAATCATATTTATCTCATTTTTTTCTTAAATCCATTCAAATTTGTTCCTCTATATGGAACCATAGGCATTGCTTCATCTCACAGGAAGCTTGATACAAATATAATAAAACATATATATAATGACCCATTTAAATTGACCCAAAATAAAGCCCACGGGCAATCCCACAACACATGTCTAGCAATGTTATATCTAGAATACTATTTTGACATATATCAAAATAGTATACTTGGATTTTGACCACTAAGATCATTCTAGATATAATAAAACACATATTTAATGACCCATTTAAATTGACCCAAAATAAAACCCATGGCCAATCTCACAACACATGTCTAGCAATATTGAAATTATCATAATACCCCTAACTATTGAACACTTCTAGATATAATAAAACACATATATAATGACCCATTTAAATTGACCCAAAATAAAGCCCACGGGCAATCCCACAACACATGTCTAGCAATGTTATATCTAGAATACTATTTTGACATATATCAAAATAGTATACTTGGATTTTGACCACTAAGATCATTCTAGATATAATAAAACACATATATAATGACCCATTTAAATTGACCCAAAATAAAGCCCACGGGCAATCCCACAACACATGTCTAGCAATGTTATATCTAGAATACTATTTTGACATATATCAAAATAGTATACTTGGATTTTGACCACTAAGATCATTCTAGATATAATAAAACACATATATAATGACCCATTTAAATTGACCCAAAATAAAACCCATGGGCAATCTCACAACACATGTCTAGCAATATTGAAATTATCATAATACCCTTAACTATTGAACACTACCATGGACACTTCTCTTTGGACAAAAAAGGCTTCTCGACAATCATAGGACCCCTAGACTTTGTGTTGAGCTTCCACAGCCTATCATACTTGTTTAACCATGCAATAGATGTTGCATCAATTCTCCCCCTCTAACAAGAATTTGGCTTTGGCGAGTTAGGAATGTGTCGAGGAATGCCATCACATGGAGAAGTTCGTTGAATCAGGAAAGAACTCTTCTTCAACTTCAATGTTTGCTCATCTGTAGCACAAGTAAGAGTATACTTCTTTTTTCCATCAATAAAGGAGTAGGTGTTGGCACGTCCAGTATAATGTACATCACGATCCCATATCCATGTTCTAACCAAAAGTATGTGACAAAGTTTGAGTGGCAAAACATCACATATGATTGTCTCCTTAAGGTTCCCAATGGTGAATGTGATTGGACATTGCTTGTCAACCTTCAACTTTGTGTTAGTAATCCCAGCCACATGATATGGCTCTGGATGTGGCTCAATCATTAACCCTAACTTCTTAACGGCGTCTTCGGATACCACATTAGTACAACTCCCAGTATCAATCACTAATGAACAGATTTTCCCTTTGCAATTAACTCTTGTTTGAAAAAATTTCCCTCTATGATAAAGATCTTAATCACTCTTGGAAACTGTTTAGTAGTTCCCATAAGAGGATGGGTAATGCTCATCAAGTCATCTAAATCATCAAAACTTGTCTAATAATTAGCATCAAGTGGATCACAATTTCACAAACCTCTTCTTCAAGTGGTGGCTTATTAGACTCCTTTGCCTCTTTTGGAATTTCCCTTTCAACCATAGCAACTGACTTTGTGGGACATTGAAAAGATAGATGACCATAACCATGACAAGTAAAACATCTTGTTTTAGAATCAGAATTACTACTTGCTTGAGACGAAGATGAAGCACTAGAACGTGGTGGCTTGTTGGAAACATAAGAACTTCCTTACGGCTTGTCAATAGACTTGCTTTGACTTGCATCAACAAAAGTCCTTTCATTCCGACTAATATTTTCTGTTGACTCTCTCATGGGGGTCTTCTTTTTTAATTCTTCTTCCATCTAGTAAGCTAGTTGAACTGCATCTGCCATGGTATAAAGTGACTAGCAGCTAGCCCACAAGAGATTTGTGAGTTTAGTTCTTGTCGATACATCGAAATCATCACATCTTTGTTCCATGGAAATTCCAATCTTGTAGCCAAATTATAAAATTTTCTGGTGTATTCCTCAACTGACATACTTCCTTGAACCAATTGTGTGAATTGTGAGTGGACACGTATTTGTAGTTTAGTGGTACAAAGTATCAAGTCATTGCAATCTTCACATCTTCCCATGATCTAACGGTAGCATAGTGCGTTTGTTGGTATTTTGGCCACAAAACTCTTGTTGTCCCCTTCAATTTGGCCTCCGCAAAGAAGAGTTTTCTCTCATCCGTCAAACGTTACCACCCAAGGTTCTGAAAAGCAGTTGCGGTCGCTGTAACGGTGGTGGTGACGCGGTTGCGGTTGCGAGGTGTAAAGGCCGTAGTGTAACGGCTGCGGTAACCGGAACCGTGAATTTTTTTATTTTTTGCACAATTTGAAAAAAACTTACCGATACGCATATTTTTTTTCCATGATCATATTTGGAGGAAGAGTATTTTAGTGCCAATCTATAAGAATAAAGGTGATGTCCAGAATTGTAACAACTATAGAGGAATCAAGCTAATGTGTCATATAATGAAAGTGTGGGAGAGGGTGATGGAACACCGATTGCGAGACATAACAGAGGTGTAATAGAAAAGTATAAAGAAAAGAAAAGAGACATTCATATGGTGTTTATCGACCTTGAGAAAGCATATGACAGACTGCCCCGAGATATAATATGGTGGGTGTTAGAGAAGAAAGGGGTGACAAAAGGCCACATTGACGTGATTAGAGACATGTATGAAGGGGTGGTGACCACTATTAGATCGCCAGCTGGAGAGACAAATGAATTTCCTATCACTGTAGGGTTACACCAAGGATCTACTTTAAGTCCTTATCTTTTTGCTTTAGTTATGGACGAGTTGACGATAAATATTCAGGATGACGTGCCATGGTGTATGCTTTTTGCAGACGATATTGTGTTAGTGGATGAGACTAGAGAAGGAGTTAACACCAAGTTGGAGATTTGGAGAAAAGCTTTTGAATCTAAAGGATTCCGGATAAGCAGAACTAAGACAGAGTACATGGAGTGTAAATTTAGTAACAGTAACAATGAAAGCAAAGGAGAAGTGAAGATTGAGAACCAAAAACTGCCTAAGAGTGAATATTTTCGTTATTTGGGGTCGATTATCACAACAGCGGGAGAGATTGATGCAGATGTGACCCATAGGATTAAGGCGGGATGGTGTAAATGGAGAAGTGCGTCTGGGGTGTTGTGCGATAAACGAATACCCACTAGACTAAAAGGTAAGTTTTATAGAACGGTTATTAGACTAGCTATGTTGTATGGGACGGAGTGTTGGGCAACCAAGAAACAACATGTAGATAAGATGAGTGTGGCTGAGATGAGGATGCTAAGGTGGATGTGTGGTAAGACTAGACAAGATAGGATTAGGAATGAGTGTATTCGGGAATGGGTAGGAGTAGCACCGAGAGAAGATAAGTTGAGAAAGAATCGTTTGAGATGGTTTGGTCATATTCAACGGAGACCAACAGCGGCAGTATTGAAGAGATGCGATGTTGTAACGGTAGATGGAAGTGTTAGGGGACGGGGTAGGTCTAGATTAACGTTGACTAGCGTTATAAATAGAGATATGAATCTACTTAATTTGACTAATGAAATGGCCTTTGATAGGGCCGCGCGGAGAAGAAGGATTCATGTAGTCGACCCCATTTGATGGGACTTAAGGCTTGGTTTGGTTTGGTTTGGCTTGTCTCGATGAAAATCTCCAACTTCAAGCTTAGTGCTTCTATCAACATCAACTAATCTAGGATTTTCTTGCAAGCGGGCTAGTATTGGTCGTGGAGGAATTTGTTCAAAACTTCATTGATGATTAGGGGATGAAGAAACATGGATGTTTGAGGCACCAAATTCTTGACCCATGCTTTCTCCAATAGGTTTTTGCCCAAGACAGCAGTTGGCAACCTCTCCATGAATACTTTCATCTCCTCGAAACTTGTAGCGATGGTAGGTACGTCACTCTTTAACATTGCAACATCACTTTTTAACATTGAAACATCACTCTTCAACATTGCAACATCTTCCTTGGTAGCCTCGTAATCTTTTGAGGAGGCTTTGAACTTAGAATTCAATTCAGCGTTTGCCACCATGATATTCAATAAAACAACTTTGTCAGAAAAAAAACACAGTAGAGAATAAAAGTAGGATTTTGAAGCCCTAATACCAAAATGATATAGGACGAGTAGGGATTACTTTCAATAGACTTATTGGGCTGGATTTAGTAAGATTTTGTGGCTGCCAAAGTATTTTAAAAAAAAAAGCAGTTGGGTGGCTGTCCTAGGCACTGTAAATAGTGCCGTGAAGACTAATCTTGCTGTATAGAAGGTCACAATGGATAGGCCAATCACACACACAATCTCAAATTTACATAATATTAACTCTTCTATTGAATCATTGAGATTAGACATATATTTATACGCTAAAGACTCTCCTAATTCTATAAGGACTATAACTCAAATTTAGAAACTAAAAATATTTAGGAACCATTAATATTCTAGACCACTATGACCTTCCAATTATACTTCAATCATTATAGGAAACTTTAATAACTTCTAATTCTACTTCAATATCAAAATAGGAAACTTGAACTTTGACCACTAAGATTATTCTAGATATCATAAATCACATATGTAATGACTCATTTAATAAATTGACCCAAAATAAAACTCATGGGCAATCCTACAACTCGTGTCTAGCAATATTGGAATTTCCATAATACCCTTAACTACTAAACACTACCATGGACACTTCTCTTTGGACCAAAAAGGCTTCTTGACAATCATAGGACAACTTTGTGTTAGGCTTCCACATCCTATCGTACTTGTTTAACCATGCAATAGATGTTGCATCACTATGTTTTCAAACTTTGTGAAAAGTCGTAAAGGGAAAATATGTATATCTCTCAACTACCTTTCATTTCAATTCCAACAATCTGTTATGCATGCAATTATCTTTTGAACTTCAAATTGGGGATGGAAACTAAGGGTTTATGAATGGCAAGTTACATTACATCTAAGTTTTGTACAAATGTGCAGTAACTAGATGCCACTTTAAGCACATGATCTGTTGAAGATTTTTGTGTTTCTTTTTTCCTTCTTTTTTGCACCAATGGATAAGGAGACTAGAATATTCCGTGCAATTTTCTTCAGCTAATATGTTCATCATATATGTAATTTAGTAAAATGGTCTACTATTTGGAACTTTGTTTATTTGGGAAAAGCATTTTTAGTAGGATGTTATGTGGTTTGTTTATGCAACTAAAATGGAATTATGTGCTTTTCTTTCAAATGAATTTGGTTCAAGCGAGAAGGATTATATAAAAAAACACTAGAAAAATTAAAATTAAGTATATCCAACACATATTTGGTCTGAATGAAGCTAGAATTTTAAATATGTCTTTAGCCATTTCCTGAGCTATTCAAATTCAGTCTGGTATTTGTTTCTCATGCATGTCTTACATTTGTCATTTCATTCACATTCTCAAGATATGCAATTTCTTTTTTTCTGTATTCCTCCATTTACCTATTGGTAGTATGACTCAAACCACATTGAACATGAAACTGAAAGGGAAAGAATTGTGGTTGTGAGTGTGTCCGTGTGCGTGCATGCATACCTCCTTTTTTGCTAAATAAAATGTTCTTCCCCTGAAGTCATGTTTGTCTTGTTTTTCCTTTATTTTCTGCTGAATTGATTGATGTTTGAGTTCTTCAGGCTGCTCCTGATGCAGTATTTAGCACCGCAGTCACATCTTTAAAACCTGAGGATGCATCTGATCCAAATCGAGTGAAATGTGTTGTGGACAATCATGGTTATGCAATATATTTTTCCAGGGGACTTATCCCATATAACAAGTAAGTTTAATTGTTATCAGGCTGGTTTCATTAGGACATAGTTCATCAGATGCTAATATGCATGTTCATACATGATCAATGCAGGTCAGGGAAGGTCAATCCACACTTCCCCTATTTACTTCATCTTGGCATCCAGGTATGAATGTAACTGTACTGTACATCAGCCTTGGTATGATAGTATTTTGGGTAAATTACACTCTTCACCACTGAACTTTCACCCAAATTTCATTTTTGATCCCTCACTTCTAATTGTAACAATTAAATCTTCAGATTTCAACCTGTGTTTCAAATTTCAATGTAGTCGCTGCATAATGTCACTGTCGAAATTTGAGTGAGAGTTGAAACATGAGGAGCCAAAGTGGAATTTCAATGAAAGTTAGAGGGTGAAAATTGTAATTTATCATATATATTTTTCCCTTTAATGCCCATGTGGCCCTTGCTTGAGCACTTTCCACCCAACTTTTTAACAATAAGTGATGAGAGGACCAAATCCAAGCACGAGTTAAAGTCTTAGGACTTAATTGTTACAATTAAAAACTCAGGGACCAAAGTGAAATTAAGGTGAAAGTTTGAAGGTGAAAAGTGTAATTTACCCTAGTATTTTCCTGCATGGTTGTTTGCCAATGCTGCCTTTTCTCTTTCTAGCCAGAGTTATGATGCCCACTTCCTGAGGATATATCCAAAGCTTTCACCTACTCCACTGCAACTAGAAGAAGATCTGGAACAGCTTAAAGTCCTCGAGAATGGATATAAAATGAAGGTATTGTACAATCAAACATTATAACTTCAGTTAATTGATAATACTTTCCTCATTTGTATTCAAAATCAAGAATCTCTAGGCTGCAGCAGTTGGTTAATATTGTTGCCTTCACTTCTTCTTGATTTTATTTCTGGGCAGCTTGCTAGTGTATGTAGACTATTTTCTTAGAAGCAACTTGCATTGACCTATTTGATAGGTTTGATTTATTAGGAAGACTGAGGGTTGTTCACTAAGAGGACTTTTAACATTGGAACCAAAACCAAAATAGTGCATAGAGATTGAATGGACTTCAACATTGAAGCATCAATAAGTTTTTTTTCATTATCCTTGAAGCACCTCTACGATCCTAGCTACCAATACACCAGAGGGAAACTGGCTTTACAAAGGAAAGGAATGCTGGGTTGCAAACCTCACCCAAACTCTAGCTTTAATTTATTCAAAGAATGTGTTATTGTTCCACCCAAATACCAAATTTTACTGTAACACTGCCCCCAATTACATATAATAACTAAGTATTTGATTGTCAACGGTGTAAATCAGGAGATAATTTTCTTCTTGCTGTAATTTTTATCTGATTGATAATCATTTAAAGCACAAGATAATGTTATCTATCAAATAAATACCTTTGAATCGAGGTGCACAGCCATGATAAATAGAATTTTTTTAAAGGATAAATGGATGTTAATACTGATGGAGAGGAGGATTTATGAGCTCGTTATTCACTCGTTATTCACTTGCAAGAATTAAACTGTTGCTAGTTGGTTAAGGTGCAGACATACTTCTAAGGCATTGTGAAACAAATACGCATTAATCAAACAGAATGAAATCTTGTGCTTGAGCTAAAAACACTAAGCTTTATATTTAGACTTTCTAGTTTCAAAGACCAATATGCTTACAAGCATACTGAGATAACTTTTTAATGAATCGAAATTGAATATAAGAAAACGAAAAAAGGGGTAGGGGATACGATCAAATCTGAGAATGGTGTTATGTGTTGAATCAACCTGCCCCTCAGGTGCTTCACTTTAGGTCTCAGCCCAAAAACACTGAGTGGATCTATTGGACAGTTTGGAACTGTTCTTGTTTGTAGAGATGCACATAATGTGATCTTTGTTCAAATTTTGTTGCTTTTTATCTTCTTGTTATGAAGAACATTGACTGTTGTGGTTTCCTGAAGTAAGGGATGAACCATTCATAGTTATTGGCAATGACAATTATCATTTGCTTCACTTTTGTACTTTATATTTTACGAAAATAAAATGAATATCGCTCATGCACAGGAATAAGTCCAGTACATGCACAAAAAAAGAATAAAGAAAGGAAAATAAATTACAGAATCTGGTGAATTTCTTCTCAAAATCGCAGTTCAGTTTGAATTGAATTGTGATTGACAAATGACAATATTCATTAAAACTTAAGTTTGACTAATAAGTAAAATAATTTTATCAGTTGTACTTGATAGTGAGCTTGATCACCTCTGTGTAGTAATGTTTCCTAGTTCATTAAGTCCTTAAACATTATTCATCAAGGTTGTATTTTCACAAATCATTTGTTGTGGATATCTCTGAAAATTTTGATTGTTACAAGTTTGTACACCGAAAATCAGAAGCTAATCCTTTTTCACTCTTCTGACAGGTGATCAAGGTCGACCATGATGCTCATGGTGTTGACACCCCACAAGATGTTGAGAAGATAGAATCATATATGCGTGAAAGAAACTTGTCTTAGTTTATATCACACACACACAGAGAGAGAGAGAGAGAGAGCTAACCCTCATACGACGGCGACAAGCTTCGTCCAAAAATTATTTGAATAGGTGGATTCATGGCCTTCCCTTATGACAAATTTAACTATCTGCGGCTCTCATTTGTTTTGATTTTGTCTCCCAACGCATCTATATTGACAATGATTGTGCTCAGTTGCTCGACAATCAAGTCTTTTAGCCAAATTTAGGCATCTACTCGGATGGTCCAGCTTATTGTCTCTTGTTAGCGATCTGGTTCGAGTGGTATCCTCTTTCATATGTAGTGAGGATAATCAATTATGGTATGCGGAAAAGCAATGTACTTCCATTTTTATACGCCAGCTTACTCTGGAAAATTGTGAGCATTGTGTTCTTAAGCTCTAAGCTAATTTAGTATCGCAATTGTCTGAATGTCAGTCAAGAAACGTCTCTCATGTAAAAATAGTCAGGGGTGACTAATTCCTACTCTTTGAATAATCTTGTACAATGATTTTGAGGAAAAAAAAAAAAAAAACTGATTTACCCGCCAATATGAGGTGATATAGGGCCTGCAGAAAATTTTGGTGATGTGGAATCATGAAAAGTTTAGTCCCTGTTTGGCCATGTAATAATTTTCTGAAAATCATGGGTGCTTTTGATTTTTTCATTGCTTTTGTTTTCAAAAAACAAAAAAATGAAAACAGATGCTATTATTTACGGATTGTTTGGGATGACCTAAATAAATGTACTTTTTATCTTTTTACGAAAAGATGTGCAGAAAAGTAGAGAGGTGATGTGATGAAAAAAAGATAAAAAGATAGATTATTTTGCAATTGCCAAACTTGGCCTTAAACCCTTGCTACCTCACCTAATGTCCGTTAAACTTTAAGTCATCTGTGATAAGAACACAAAAAAATTTCAGATAATGGGATGCAAATGTGAACTTTTTATCTCACATCTGTTTTTCCTTTTATGAAAATCATTGGTGCGTCTCAAAACCTACAAGTAAATGCAAATACAAAATATGCAGCCAGCATAAGAAATTTTCCTCCCAACCAAGCCTACAGAAAGATTAGAACCTATATAGACACTTCATTTTAGTCGCCATAACCGTGTCCCGCATCAGACACCAACATTCCTTAGACATGCTGGAACACATCTCGAACACGTCGTGAGACATGTCAAATTTTTTTCTTTGGACATATTGGGGCATAACAACAGGTTTTTAAGAAAAAAGGAACTGCAGGTTTGTAGACATAACACTCCATTGATTCATTTTAAGTGCAAAGCCTTTGAAGTGCTACAATTTATACAAAACATCTGGAACTTCACAATTCTTCTTTTGGATTAGACTTCACAATTTTAAATCTATTGAAACAATAAACCCAGTCAAAAGGATGAATTTGTCATTCCACAAATGACCTTTTCTACAATATCAAGAAGTTTCAGTAAAGATAAATGTGATCCTTGTACATGTGAGCCGTCATATTCAAGGATTGAAGCATGGCTTCGCCTTGCTTGTTGAAGTTAAACACAGATATTCCACCATTGTTTATATCAATAGCACGAAACCTGACCAACAAAAACAGTGTCAAAGCGAACTGTTTAAAATAACAAATTTTTGCAATGATATTTCAAGGGTAGTCACATTAAACCTGACATATGATTGGTACGGGAATATGTGCTAACTTAGTTGGGATATGTCATTACTTTTATGCCTTGGCCTTTCATATTTTTTGTTTTTTATTGATGTATTGTACTTTGATTTGCATAAATAAAATTTCTTTGCTGATCAAAAAAAAGAGAAGAAGACGAAAAAAGCCAAACATTATGAAATTGTAAAGACCACTATTGTTTGTCGGAGCCAAGCATTAAAATCAGAATGAAAACCCAGGTGTAAAATGGTAACTAGCAAGAATTTTACTATTTATTTTCTTTTAGGACTCGATAAGAAATGTTTATGCACTCTCTCTAAGGCCGCTTATGCTGATTAAGATATTATTTATATAGTTCTCAAATTATTTTACCTTAAACATTATATTCCTTAAATGAATATCAAATGTTATATTCCTTACATGAATATCAAATGTTTGTATTCAACTAGAAAAATCAACATAAGTTAAATGAAGTGAAAATTGAATGCAAGGGTTTACTACAATTTATCGGTTTTATGACCACAATTTGACAATAACAATACATACCTCTCTGGGCTGAGTCCAAGAGCCGTGCAGATCAGTGCCCTCAACACTGATTTATGAGTTACAACCAAAAAACGTTCTCCCTGATAAATAACACAATTTTTTATTGGAATAAATAACTATTCCACTATGTCAATGTAACAATATATACAAATAAAAAATAAAAAAGTTTTAAGGAAACAATAAAAGCTTACTGGTGTAAACAAGATTTCTTTCCAAGCTTCATTTGCCGTTCTCCATAGCTTTCTAACAGGGTAAACACCATCCACAACAAAATTAGATGGATCTTCTCTCCATGTTATGTATTCCTTTGGATGCTTTTCCCTAGCATCAACTGCCTCCAAATACTGAGCATGATTTATTACAGTGCATATATTATTCAACAATGAAAGTCAAGCATTCACTGAAAACCAACAACTCAACTCAAGATTCAAATTGAAATTGACAATATTGAATTATTTTGTAAATTACTTGAAGTCATAGAAAACTTATACCAAATTACATTTGATTATATAAAGTACTTGTATATAGTTAAATAACGGTATCGGGATCGGTGATACGGTCATGTATCAATAGATATAAAACAGCATTGGCTGATATATCGGTGAATATCGGTATTAGAAGTCCAAAATTCGATATGTGTATATTAGCCAATATGATATACATATCAGCCGATATTTAAAACCCTTGCAACATGCCCGAGTTTTCTTTGAGCAAAGACAAATTTTTTTGTTTAGAACTATCTGTAAGGCTATGTTTGGATTGTGGATCTGAGAAGGGAATTTTTAATGGGGGGAAATTAAGTAAAAGAACTTAAATTTTTATTTCTTTCATTTTCCTTTCCCTTGATAAATCCAATATTCAAACATAGCATAGAAGTAAAACAAAGGGACACACACACCATTTTTCATGCCTTCAAGAAAAAACAGATGGGCCTCCTTCAGTGAATCAAGAAAAACAAGTGGTTCTTCCCTCCCTTGCCATAAAACTTCAGCAGTGGACTGCATTAAAAACACCCACAATTAAGGAACTGTTTGAAACACTACATATGCTCAATTTATCATCTATATCGACCTTTTCAAACCTTAGCACGAGATATTGGACTAGAGAAACATTGGTCAAAGTTTATATTTGCTAAGGCTTTCTTGCACCTTTCTGCTTGCTGCACTCCAGTTTCAGTTAGGATGGATAGGTCTGAACTTCCCTGAATGTATAACAATTTTGTCAGCATTCGAAAATATCATATGATGTCAACTTAGGAGATCTTTTTCAACAATGCTCCATTTGTTTTGGTGGAAAACGCTTTATTCTGTAAAAAAGGTTTTACTATATGTTTGATTGCGGCTTTGAAATTTATATGCTAGTAGTGGTGTTAGTGGTCGTGTGGGGTGGTGGCGGGGATGACGAGGTGGTGATGCTGGTGTGGTGGTGGTAGTGTGGTAGCATTAGTAAGACTTTAGTCTTAAAAACATTTTTCACCTTTCAAAAGTGAAACATTTCCCACCCAAGCAAACAAAGTATAAGTTAGTCGCTGAAAGAAAAAATTTCAGAACAAGTTTCAATTTTGAATATCCTTAAAAATAGAAGGGAAAGATTAGTGGATCATAAATTCTACTGTCTCCTGAAACAATTCAGAACAAGTTTCAATTTTGAATATCCTTAAAAATAGAAGGGAAAGATTAGTGGATCATAAATTCTACTATCTCCTGAAACAAGAGCAACACTAGCCTATGTACTACACAAAGTTCAAAAGGCTGTGGCTTGAAAGTGTTCTAATAACCAATGAATTTGATCATATTGTTTAGGCATTTGCAATGTGTATCTCCTTGTTATGATTTTCTATGGCATTTATTACTTCAAACTTAAAACCAAAGAATTCAACCTTTTAGCTTTCATGCTAGCTAGTAGTTAATTTAATGAACTTAAGATTTTAAATGGATTTAAACTGTATATAACTGGTAACCTATTTAGAGATTTCTTTTTAAACAGAAAGGGCAATCGACTTCACCATATTATAAGAATTGTCTCACCAGTGAGATTGGGGACAAGGGTTTGCAACATCAATTGTCACAAAGAACAACCAATTCTCATGTTTCACATTACATTAAATTTTAGCATCATCGCTTCACCCAGAGAAAGAATTGAGACGACAAACCTGAACTCTACTTTCGTCATTCCAAGAGCTAAGGCCATGCCTCACAAGAGTCACCTTCTTTGGTGAAGACAACAACTTTTGAGTAAGAGAAATTGTTGCTCTCTCAAAATCATAAGCTCCACCAGTCATAGATGCATCATTATGAAGTGTCTCTGTACAACATTGATGGTCAAAGCCAACTTTGAATTGAATCAAGTACATAGAAGTGATTTGCAATTGCTTTGAAAAGAACCAAAAGTGAGGAGAGAGAGGAAGTGACAAAAACTAAATGTTAAAACAAGAACTAGGAATAAATTATTGAGTAAGAATGGTATATTATGGCCCAAGCCCTTCAGTAGGTAGTCCATGTACCTCCAAGTTGGTTCGTCATCAATGGATTTACGGCTACGTGCTACCCACCTAATTATTAAAGATAAATTTCCTTTCTTAATTGTTTTTGCTATGACAAATGGTGTGTAACACAACCAATTACTCGTATCTACCTAATCAAAACAGTACAATAATTTAATGTCAAATGATGTCTATAATTTTGCAATAAAAAATCCATCGAGTTCACTCTGGAAAAGGGTGCCAAAATAATAACCTATGTATCCATCTTTCAAGAGAATAAATTCATTTAATCTCCTTGTCATAGCCACCTATGTTACATGGACTCGGGTACAGGTGTCGGGTGCAGATATGTATTTAAAGGTCGGACTCATCAAATCATAAATTTAAAGATACGCGGACTCGGCAAAAAAAGGTCATATTTTTATATTTTTAATCTAATATGTGAGATAAAATGGTACTATATTTAACTTATAGTGTCAAAATGACATTTATAACAATTATACAACAATATGTACGTATAATAATAGTGTTATCTACAATTATATAAAAAGTATCCGTTGAAAAGTATCCAACACATATCCCATACCCTTGTCCGAGTGTCGAGTGTCCGACACGGGTATTTGATTTATTTTGAAGAGTCCATATAACATAGATAGCCACCAAGTGAGTTTGGCAACAAGGCAAATAAGCTGTGTATTAGCTTTTTTCTATCGCATCACTTCTCTACTTTTCTGGACATCTTTTCCTAATAAACAAAGAAGTCAAAAAATAAGTCATACCCAAAGCATAACCCACAAAAAGTTTTTGAAACTGACAATTTTTAGAGACTCTAATCATAGATGGGTCAGTGATTACTCATACCAAAAAGCACAAATCTACTCAAATGTTCAATATAACAAAACAGAACATCTCTCATGAATTAAACAAAGGATCGAATTTCACAACAACATCCAAAGAACAGCACATTTGAGTTGAAGTTGAGTGCAAACTTTAAGTTTAATTAGGGCTAGTGGTGAAGAATTTCAAATGGGTTCTTTCAATATCTCAAAAAACAAGAGGCCAGCGTCAAACATGCCATCTAAACCAAATCAACTCAAAAAACACTAAACCCAGTACTCGTTTACTAATTCCAATTCTGGGTTTACAACACAAACATGTTATCTACTCCAAATTTTATCATAGTTTCTTAATTGTTCATGAAAACAAAAAAGAAAGAAAATTAGAGCTCAGAGATTACCAGTAGTTAGAGGGAGATCTGAACGTGAAGACAAGCATTGAATCCGAATTGTTGATGGACATGAACAGGAAATCTGAAGCTTAGGAGGTTCCAAACACAAAGGAAAGGTTGGGATTAGAAGTCTACAATTCATCATCTGAGAGATTTGGGTAAAATTGGTTTGTTTTTGTTTTTCAGTTTTTTTGCTTGATAAGGTGGGATGATCGTTCCAATGGAATTGGGGAGAGTAAGTGATGAGTGTACATGGTGTCATCTCATGGTTGGACCACAGTCTTCTGATTGAAAGGTGGAGATTGATTTGGGTGGGGTTTGAGTTCTGATTTCTTGACATTTGGCCTTGCATTTTCCAGACATTTGGCCTTGGATTTTCCATTGTGGATATGCTTTCAGGGGAACAGAAGATTCCAGTTTGGTTAAATTGAAACTAACTTCATTGCTTTGAGTTTTAATTTGTTTATAGTAAACAATTTTATTTTATTTTTTCTATTTGAAAAAAAAAATTCCAAACATAGGTGTCTGTTTGGTAACGTTTACGTTTTCAGTTTATATTTACAAAAATTTTATAAACTGATTTTTGTTTATTTTTAGAAAAACATAAACTATAAACATGTTTAGTAATTAAAAAAATATTTAAAAAATTTTAAAAATATAAAAAAGAGTGAGAAATGGCAAGTGGTGGCAAGTGGCGGCGGAAGATGGTGGTAGAAAGTGATGACAGTGGGTGGTGGGTAGCTGGTGGTGGCGGGTGGGTGGTGGTGGTGAGTGGGTGGTGGTGAGTTGGTGGTGGTGGTTGTGGTGG